GGGCAATCTACTTATGTAAAGATTTACTGCCTTGCTAACCCAGTGGGGTTCACTGTGAGTCGGAATCGACTCGATGGTAGTGAGTTTGGTGGTTTTTTTTTTTTTTTTTGGTTTAATGAAGGGTTCAGTGAAGAGAGAGATTGAACTCATTTTAGTTTGGTATGGGTATATTAGAATTTATGCAAAAAGAAAAAAACTAGAGTCTGCATTTACAGTGTACATGCCCTGTTATTTAACATTATTTATGAAAATGTTTTATTACAAAAAGTTTTGAACATGGAAAAGTTGAAGAAAACATAGAATATAGAAAAGTGAACAACTCTATAATACTAATCACCAAGATTCTTTGTAGTTGCTACATTTGCTTCATCATGTATCTATTCAGCTATCCATTTTAATTTTTAAATACATTTCAAAGACTTTTTCCTAAATATTTAAACATGCATATCATTAACTAAATTCAATATTTGTTTACTTTTTTTTTTTCTAGGTAAAATTTACATACAATGACATGCACATATCCGAAGTGTACTATTGGATAAATTTTGATAGTGCATTCCCTGTGTAACACAAATCTTCCTTGTCAAGAAATAGGGCCCTATCACCACTGCAGAAAGTTCCCTCATTCCTACTTCTCAGTCAGTCTGCACCCTTGTTCTCTCAAAAGCAATAACTCAGTGTAATTCTCTCATAGGTTAGTTTTCCACTACCCAGAACTGAGGTGGAATCATACAGTAAGCACATTTTAATTTTTTTAAAACAGAAATGTATAGGTTTTTTCACCTGAAACAACATTTACTTATTCCCATAAAAGCTGGTAATATAATATGGAATTCATTTGAGCAAATTTTAAAGTGTTTAGAAAAACCCTTTAATTTAAAGGAAAAGCATATTCTGAGGTTTACCAAACTTGAGTTTTAGTGTAGATTAGGCATGGCAAGTAAATTTCAACTCCCATGATAGGATTTTGGTAGAGCATTGTTAAGATTCTAAACTTACTATACATCCAGTAAGTTTAGTTGGAAGTAGTACTGGGACTTAGGTTATATGCCATTGTCCTAGAAGATGGAGAATAGTGGCACAAGAACCACACACATTGGCCGTTCCTGAGAAACACATGATGATTTACATCTATTTCCTGACTTTTATACTATAATTTGCTTTGAGTCCCTCTATTTTCTGGAATTGGACCTTAATGAGTGTAGTTAGTAATCACATACTGAATTATAGTGTTATGATACGAAGGTTGGGCAATCTACTTCCATAGTGATACCGCCTCGGAAACCCAAGGAGGGGTCGCTATGAGTCGGGTCCAACTCAACGGCACATAACAACAACAACAACAACACCAATTCTAAAAGCTTTATGTACTTATGCTACTTGAGTATTTTAGAGATCAGTATTGCTACATATTTATGAAGAGAGGAGTGGATGGGATTGAAAGACAGGGAGAACAAAGTGAGGGGTGTTCTCCTCTACATGTTTAATCCATATTTACATTTCTTTGCTTCTTTTCCTTGTAGAATTTAGGAAAAGTGACTTTAAGTAATCTTTCTCCCATTCTAAGATCATGTTGTTGTTGTTAGGTGCCATCGAATTGGCTCTGCCTCTTAGTGACCCTGTGTACAACAGAAGGAAACACTGCCCAGTTGTACGCCATCCTCACAGTCCTTGCTGTACTTGAGCCCATCGTTAAGCAACTTTGTCAATCCATCTTGTTGGGGGTCTTCCGCTTTTTCGCTGATCCTCCACTTTTCCAAGCATGATAACTTTCTACAGGGAATGGTCCCTTCTGACAACATGAGCAGAGTAGGTGAGATGAAGTCTGGCCATTTTTGCTTCCAAGGAGTATTCTGGCTATACTTCTTCGAGGACAGATTTGTTTGATTCCCAGCTAAAGAATATCATGTAGTGTTTCTCTATTGTTGTTGTTGTTATGTGCTTGACTTGTAGTTTGTATATAAAATACTATAAGATTAATTTATGTTAATATCCTAAATAGGACAATTAGAACTTGGAATGTCAGGAGAAAATCCTTTGCCTTTCTTTCCATAATTCTAGAAGTTCTTTAGAAGGAGAATGTGTAATTTTTTTTTTTTTTCCCAAGCATAATAGCTTATTCTCTTACTTGCCAAGTCAAAGCTCTTCTGTGGGCCAATGTCTATCTAAGATAATTTTAGTCTCTATGAGATGCAGTAATAACTGTCGTTTTAAATAGGACTTTATTTTAAAGAACACTGATGTATTCTTCTATACTTCTCACTTATTGTATTCTATTTTGCTTGGCAGGTGTGTGCAGGTGTATAAGAAACCAAACTCACTGCCATTGAGTTGATTCCGACTCATAGCGACCCCCTTTGGGTTTCCGAGGCAGTAAATCTTTACCAAAGTAGATTGTCCAGTCTTCCTTCTGCGGAGTGGCTGGTGGGTTTGTACTACCAGCCTTCGACAGGTGTATGGTACCCGTATTTTTTTAGATTAGATGACATATATATGCTGCCCTGGGTGTTTCAGTTATGAAGATGGAGCAAGATTGGGATTGTTAAGTCCCAGCTCAAAACATTGTGTTATATATTTGTGTAGGCATCAAAAATGGTATGAAGACTGTCTTGCAAATAGTTATTTAATAATATTTTATTACTATCTTTATACTGGGGAGCTCTGGTAGCATAGTGGCTAAGACACTTGCCTGCTAACCAGACGGCTGGCGGTTCAAACCCACCAGCCACTCCTCGGAAGGAAGGTTGGGCAATCCTACTTCCGTAGTGATAACTGCCTCGGAAACCCAAGGAGGGGTCGCTATGAGTCGGGGCCGACTTGACGGCACATAACAACAACAACAACAACATCTTTATACTGAAAAGAATAATAAAGGATATCAAGAAAGAAAATACAAACAATAGAGAGATAAGCAGTAATTATTAGTAGCGTTTCTGTTATGTTTCACTCTGAATTAGTGGTGTTTCTGTTACGTTTCACTCTGAATGGGTAAGTAGGACTCTGAATGTTTATTATTTTGTAAAATTTAAGTCTGATTCCTAGTGCTTTACAGTACATGAGTATGACCTCTACTTCATAGAAATGCTTTTTTTTTTTTTCCAGGAGTTTTTGTCTAGTCTCAAAGAATGATGTGTATTAAATTATTTTCAATTTATATTTCTTCTATGTTGTTGTTGTTATGTGCCATCGAGTCGGCCCCGACTCAGCGACCCCACCTTGGGTTGCTGAGGCAGTATCATTACGGAAGTAGATTGCCCAGTCTTCCTTCCAAGGAGTGGCTGGTGGGTTTGAACTACCAGCCTCTGTTTAGGAGTCACATGCCTTAGGCACTATGCTACCAGAGCTCCGAATAATTTCTTTATAGGAGCAATAATTCCTGTAGGATTACTTCCTAGGATATTTTGTGATTCTTGTGAGTTTTTTTTTTTTTTTTTAGTAGTACTCATTAGATTTATATTTGTAAAAGTTAGAAAATCAAAGCAAATTATCTCTCTCAAACTCTGTTCAGTATTTCATCTCCTAACAAGACTAATTTTTGTTAGCCATCTGTAAGTTTAAGGACTTCTAAATAGTTCACTATCAATAGCTGGCTCAAATATATGGTGACTATGTTGCTTCTTTGAAGTGAGAAAAAGAATCTGTGCTGTTCTGTTTTTTCCTTTTTCTTTGAAGCTAAAAATTGGAGTCTGCTATTACAATTTTAGGAGCCCTGGTGGCACAGTGGTTAAAGTGCTTGCCTGGGAACCAAAATGCTGGTGGTTTGAACACATGAAACGATGTGTGAGAGAAACATGGCAGTCTTGACTGATAGCCTTGTAGTCTTAACAGTCCTTAACAGTGTAAGATTCATAGCCTTGGAAACCTTGTGGGACAGTTCTACCCTGTCAAGTAGTGTCGCTGTAAGTTGGAATCGATTCAACAACAGTGAGTTTGTGATTACTATTATAATTTTTTTTTCTGTTGTCCCTATGCTTTATCCTCTATATTTCTTGAATTATGTTATCTTAGAGAATGTCTTTAGCATTGTCATTTTTCAAAAAGTTGTTTAAGAAGAGGCCTTTTAAAAACAACACATAAAAAGTCATCATCTTTTAGGGTTATGTTTTAGGACATCTGTGGGTAAAAAGATATACAACTGTGATTTGCTTTAAAATAATGGAGAGTTACAAGGAAGTGGTTAGGGCCATAAATGAAACAAGGATGGTCAAGAATGAATCATTGTTGAAGCTAGGTAAAGGTATAGGGGGTTTCATTTTATTCTCTCTCTTTTTGTGTATGTTTTAAAATTTCCAGGATAAGTTAAAGGATGAGGTAGGATCTGTCTTAATTACCTGTTGCCACTGTAACAAATACTACGAGTGGTTTTAACAAACATTTATTTTCTCACTGTTCAGGAAGCTAGAAGTCCAAATTCAGGGTGCCAGGGAAAAGCGTTTTCTCTCTGTTGGCTGTAGGGAAATGTCCTTGTCTTTTGTCACCTTCTGTTTCTTGGTTCCCTGAAGATCTTATGATGTAGCATCTGTCTTCCCTCATTTGTGCTTGATGGCTTTGTTGCTTGTTTAATCTCAAATCTCTCAGAAGAGATTGATTTAAGGCACTTTATACTAATATTGCCTTATTAACAGAACAAAGAAAATCCATTCCTAGATGGAATTATAACCACAGGTACATGGGTTAGGATTTACAACACATTTTTAGGGAACACAGTTCAGTTCCAACAGGATCCAAACTTAAATTGGGTTATATGAAGTGGAAATTTGAATTCTGCTCTAAAAAATAATAAATAATTTATGAGTAGTCATGTTTTCATTTTTGGACAAGATAATTTTCATGCATAAAATTTTAAATATCCTTTCTTATTACACTAAGCTGAAGGTGTATGTGTGTGTAGATAAATTGATAGTTGGGTGATCATAATTTGTTGTTACTGTTGAAAGTACTGAAAGTCTCTTCTTCACTAGGTTTAGTTGAATGTGTAGTGATAGTTCTCATTGTTTCAGGTAGTCCAACAGCCTTCAGGAGGGATCACAAAACAAGTGACTGCACTTTCTCATTCTTCAGCATTGACCATTCAGAAATCTGGACAAAAGCCAGTCGACACTGTAATATCGACCAGTCAATTTTCTCCAGGTAACCTGGCCTGTACCCCTGTACCTGCCCACAACACTGGGTTTGAAACACTGTGGAATTTTTGTACTCAATTTTTTGTTGTGTTAAGAGAAGAGAGCATTGGTGTTTAAAATTGGCACCAACGCAAGAAGACTGAAAGATAACTACTTGTTACACTCTTTGTGCTTTCGTAGCCACTTTTTGGAGGTGTCTGTTGTTTTATGGTGAAAGAGGCAACTACTCATGGTATTCTGTAATTAGCTAAAACAGTCTACTAGTAAATAAGTATTTTTTAATTTTATTATAGCCTTATTCCTTTCTAAAATGTAGTCCTTTAACTTTGAAAATCAGTCCTACATATGTAAGTTAGGCGGACATTTATGTGTTTTTAAAATCTTAATAATATAAGTTAAATACTATTACATGTTTTAGTCACCTTTTGTGCTTGATTTTTTATAATGCTGTCAATTCTTTAGATAGTTTGAAAGTCACATAAAAAGAAATGGAGAGGTCTTTATTTTATAGAAATAATTCCTTACGCAGAGAGCAAATTCATTGCTATGTTTCAATTTCAACATAATTCAAGGGCAAATTGAACTTTTCTTTGACTATATTATATATATTAAAAGCTGTTGTCTTAAATTTTTCCTAATGTGGCATCATTGTATTTTTTTGTTCTACTTTCTTCTCTTTTTTTATTTTTATAGCTTCTATTCTAAAGCAAATAACCCTGCCAGAAAATAAAATTCTGTCTCTTCAAGCATCTCCTCTTCAGAAAAATAAAGTAAAAGAGAATGGAACATCATCCTTCAGGTAAACATAACAGTTAAAACTTGATCTGGTTTAAGGAAGAAGTATTAAGAGAAAAAAAATGATGACAGAGAATAATGCTGAAATAAAATAAATATATTGATGCCTTTAAAAAAAAAAAAACTAATAGTATTTCAGTGAGTATAATTTATAAGCAGTAAAGTTCACAAATGTTAAGATATATGTATATGCCTGTGTAATTAAATACAAATCAACATATTTAACATGTGCATCACCTTTAGACACCTTTCAAATGAGTCATCTCTGTATTCTGCCTCTGTCAGCTACTATTCTTATGTCCTTCACCATGTATCATTTTTGTCTGCTCTCAAACTTCTGTAAATGGAATGTTACATTATGTACAGCATATTTTTGCTATTCATCCCTGTTGGTTTGAATATTAGAAGACTGTTTCATTGCTAAGAAATATTCCATTGTGTGAATTTAAATTCATTTATCTATTGTCCTATTCAAGGATATTTGTGTTTTTTTCCAGCTTTTGATCATTTATAGAAAACTGGTATAAAAATAAACGTGCAGATTTTTAAAAAATATTTTTACTGTGATTTAGGTGAAAGTTTACAGAGCAAATTCATTTTCTATACAGCATTTCATACACATTTTGTTTCATGACTTTAGTTGTAATTCCCCACAATACAACAGCTCTCTTTTTTAAAAAATAATCCTCCCCATAGTTACCTCTTCCTTGTATCATTTCCTCCCATACACTCACATATAGATCTAAGGGTGATTGATCATATATGGTAAGTGTATGTCTCACGTTTTAAAAACTACCAGACTGTTTTCCAAAATGTGACTGTATCAATTTACATTCCCACAAGCAATGATGAGAGTTCCTGTGTGCTCCATAGCTTTGTCAACACTTGATATTGTCAGTTTTCTGGATTTTTGCTTTTCTGATAGCTGTGTTTGACGTATTTTATTTTGGTTTTAATTGGCATTTCTTTAAAGATAGTGAGAGTATGTGTTTATTTGCTACACATGTAATTTCTTTGGTGAAGTGTTTGTTCAAATCTTTTGCCCATTTTTTCTTTCTGTTTCTCTGTTTTCTTATTGTTAAGGTTTGAGAGTTTTTTTAAAATATATTCAAGATATAAGCCTTTGGCCAGATAAGTGATTTACAAGTATTTTCTCTATCTGTGGAGTATCTCTTCATTCTCTTAACAGTATTTTTTATTTTGATGGAAGTCCAATTCACTAATTTTTCTCTAATAGATTGTGGTTTTCACATCTAAAAAATGTTTTTGTACCGTAAGGTTACAAAGATTTTTTTCTCTTATATTTTCTTCTAGAAGTTGTACAGTTTCTGATTTGTGCTTTGTTTATTGATACTTTTTAATTCTCATCCACTGCTTGTATAAACTATTAGTGTGTGCATGTTCTACTTTCTTCTTTCTCTATCTTTTCCCATTTTTAGTCACATTATTTCTGCCTTGCACAACATGTAACATTTATTCATTAGTCTTCTTTCTAATTTCCACCTATGTTTTAGTCATAGGTCTACTTTTACAAAAATACATTAAGCTATTTACTTTCTGACCTCTTTCTGAAATCTCCTCATTCATTTCTTGGCCAATGAAGGTCATTTGCTAGTCGATTCCTCAGGAAACATTCATAGGATCTTAAAAGCTTTCAAGCAGCCATCTAAGATGTAGCTAACGGTCTCCTAGCATCGGAAGTGAAGAAGAACGCAAAAAAAAGGGGGGGGGCATTTAGAAGCAATCAGCCCTAAGACACAATGACCCTTGAGACCAGAAGAACTAGATGGTGCCCGACTACCAATGCCAACCACTCAGGAAAGGATCAAATCTGGAGATACTGGATAGAGTGGGAGGGAAAACGTGGACCAAAATCCAAAAACTCAATAATGATCAGAATTACTGGTCAGATGAAATCTGGTGAGATTCCCAGTACTGTGGCCCTAGAATACATTCTGTGCCTGGAAGGAATCTCACCCCCAGGGGAAGGCTCTCAGCCCAGTAGTTAACAAGATGTACACACAGACCACTCAACCCAGGATGACACACCCTACATACTCTATGGTAATACATCCCTTAGAGCGATAGACCATGGGACACCAGAGGACCAGCATTCAAACTGAGGAAATGCAGGACAAATAGGAGTGCATAAATATGAGGGGCACAGGGGGAAGGTTACAGGGTAGGGAGGGGAGGAGACTGGGTTAGGGTTGGACATGGCAAATGGTGAATGAAACTAAATGTATGTGTTACGTTGAATGTAAAACAAACTCTTAAAGAAGAAAAACACATTCATAGGTACAGAATTCTTTAACTTCTATGTTGGAAACTATTTTCAGTGTCTTTGATACTTGTAGGACAGCTTGGCTGGATATAAAACTTTCGATTGCTCTTTTTGTATTGCATTTTTTTTTAAGATGATACACCAGTATTTCTCTGGTTTCTATGTTCTTTTTATTACATTTGATCTTTTTGTCTGAAGGCCTGAAGATTTTAAAGTTTATATTTCAAATTTAATAATTTTACACTAGGATATATTGTAAAGATGATCATTCTACCATCGTTTTCCTAGTTTTCAATTGACCCTTTCAGCCTGTAGATTCTGCTGTTTTGTAATTTATAAAAAAAATTGCCTTGAATGATAGTCTTAAATATTTGTTCTATTACATTGTTTTGTGTTTCTTTGGCAGTGAATGCAATAGTATGGGTTTTATTTCTTCATTTCCTCTTTCATTTCCATTGCTTTGTCTCTTTGACCCTTTTTCTACATCTTCTTTATCTCATTTTCATTTCTTTGGTTGTTTAGTGCTTTTTAACAGGTTTTCCTTTGCATCTGTTTACCCTTGGAAAACTGTTTGGTTCTTTTTTGATTTGCAGCACTTTAAATTTTCTCCTTTTGCATCTTGTCCCTTTACCAAAATCTGTTTCTCTGTCTTTTTGGCATGTGTGCCTTTTTTCTCCCCGAGAAGCTACACATTTCAAACACTACCAGTTCTAAGTCAGATGTGCTTTTTTAAGTCCCTTTCCTGTAACCATGCTTTCATATATCAAAATACCTTTTTGACTTGAAGTGTATTTAGTCTTTCTGCTAGTAGTATATTTTATCATTTTATCCTTATGCCTGCCAATAGATCTCATGTTTTTGTTTTCTGCATTTTTTCTCAATATTCTTTTGCTTGCTTACCAAAGGGTGAGGGTAAGTTGGGAGAGGGCAGGGTACTGGAGGACTAGACACGTGTCCCGAGGTTTATTATTTTTCTTTTTCATTTTATACTTTATGTGGATAGTCTTTGTTTTTAAGTATGCTCTTGCTGTGGTTTTTGGATTCTTTGTTTTCAAGTTATGCTGTTGGTGTGGTTTTTGTAATGTTGGAGGAAACCTTAGAAGATAGTAATCTAGGCAGCCATCATTGTCTTCCATTTTGACAGGTTTTTCCAAAAGGCTAAATACGTGTACTGCCATCAAGATATAGAGAATATTTTCAACACCTGTGCTCTTTCCTAGCCATCCCTACATTATATCCTAAGGCCAGACAACAATACATCTGCTTCCTATTGTTGTAGATTAGATTTGTCTTTCATAAGGAAGATGGGGCAGTCTACTTCTGTAGAGATAATGCCTTGGAAATCCAAGGAGGGGTCACTATGAGTCGGGTCCAACTGGATGGCACATAGCAACAACAAAAAAGTTTTTAAAAATGGAGTTATATAATTTGTATGCTTCTGTCTTGTTCCTTTTGTTAAAATATGTATTTGGTATACATCCATGCTGTTGCATATACCAGTCCTTTGTTCCTTTTCATTACTGAGTACTCTGAGTACTGTTGCATTGGATAGATGTGTACTGTATTCATTTATACTGCATTTTTGATCTCTTCACCTGTTGATACATGTTTGGGTTGGTTCCAGTGTTTGGCTGTTTTGAATATAGCTGCTGAGAAGCCTTATGTCCAGATCTTTTGTGTGTTTTGCCTTTACTTCTGCTAATACTTAGAAGTGAAATTGCTAAGTAGTATGGTAAGTGTATGTTTATAAGAAATTGCCAAACGGTTTTCTAAGTGATCGTACCATTTTACATTCCCATCCGCTTGTTCCAGAGGTTCCGCATCTTTGCCAACAGTCAATACTCAGTTTTTTTGTTTTTTCTTTCCACTTTTAGCTATTCTAGTTGGTTGTATAATTATATATCATTGTGATTTTAATTTGCATTTCTGTACTAATGATGCTAAAGTATATTTTCATGTGTTGGTAGCTATTTCTGTAGCTTCTGTTGTGAAGTGTCTATTTAAATGTTTTGCCCGTTTTCTAATTGAATGCTTTTGTCATGAGCTTTTTCAGCATCTGTTTTAGATGATTGATTTTTGTTATTCTGTTATTGTTTTAAGTTACTTTTCTGTTGTTTGTTTGTTTAATGTTAATTCAACCTTCCATTCCTGAGGTACTCCTTTGTATACAGTGCTGTGTTTGGTTTAATTAATATTTTCTTAAGGGGTATTTGTTTATATTCAGGAAGGATTTTAGTCTTAAAATGTCTTTGTCAGATTTTGATATCTACTTTTGGTAGCTTACAAAAAATAAGTTGTAAGTAATTTCCCCCTCCTTCAGTGTTTTCTTAAAAACTTTGTGCAGAACTGCTATTATTTTTCCCTTAAATATGTGAATGAATTTACCATCAAAACTAAATCTCTTGTTTTCTTTGTGAGAAGTTTTTTGATAAGAAATATCAGAATTTCACTTTTTCTGTTTTGTTTTATGTCAGTCTCAGAGTTGTATCTTTGAAGATTTTTGTACATTTAATCTTAACTTTTTAAAATGTGTTGACATGAAATTTTTCATAATATTTCCTTTTTTAGTGTCTGAGGATTCAGTAGTGGTAATATCTGGTATAGTGAATTTTTCAATGACTACATATTTTGTCTTACTTCATTTTTGTGTGGGGGTGAAGTTGTTCATTTCATTCTTTATCTTTTTAAAACCTTGAAGAATTTTAGTGACATTTCTTTTC